AATATAAAAATATATTTAAAAATATTTAAATGATTATAATAATTTATAAATTTTTATACATGGAATTAATAAATAAACGTTACATACAGATTTTATATATTATATTTTAAATGTATTTGTAATGTAATTGTAATATTAAATATTTTATAAAATAGTATTATTTAGTAATTATAATAGTATTAATAGTTAATATTTATATTTTCTTTTAACAATCTTGTTATCCAATTATACATTTTTTATTTCTTTTTTTATTTTTTATATTTAACAATTATTAATTTATATAATATATCTATTCTATATTATGCAATATATAGTATATATAGATATTTTAAATTGTCAATATTTATACATATAAAAATCTATAAAATATACACAATATATAAAAATATATAAAATATCTATAATAAAGCATTTATCATAATTTTTATAAAATTTTAATTGAATTCTATTCATAAAAATTAAATTTCTATATTTTTTATTCAAATAAAATAATTGTTAAAAAAAATTAAATAATTTAATTTTTATATTTTCTATATATTTATAAAACTCTTAAAAATTATCATAAAAATAAATCATGATAAAATAAAATATATTTAAGTAAAATTTCATATAATCTTTGGATGGAAATTCTCAATCTGTAAACTAATTCTGAAGAATATAAAATTAAATGTAAAATGATTTTTGAAGAATCACTATAATTAGATAGATATTTTGTTATAATTAATATTATTAGATAGATATTTAGATAGATATATTTTTTACTTTGCAATTATTTATATAAAAAATTTATTTATTTATTAAATTTCCATAAAAGTAACTTAAGATTTATTGCAACAAATTTAAAAATAAAATTTAAAATGCAAATATGAATGCACTATAGAATAAATCGAATAAAAAAAAAAAAAAAATTGTAGAGTTTAGTTGAGAAATTTTAGGAATTAAGACGAAAACACTAGAAAAATCGACAATAGCAACTAAGAAGAAAATGTAAATGAGTGTGTAATCACGAAAGTTTGTATCGTTGTTTCTCTTCCTTCGAGGATGATCTCAACTCTCACTATTTTCACATATGGAGATTCCATGAGAACACGCGACAATGCTTAACAATTCCATCATCTTTGCTATATCTACTTATTCATTGCATTTCATTTAGATTTTCACTCGTTTATACATGTACCTAATGTACAGATCACTTCATATTCAATATTCATTTCAATATTTATATACATCATTTATTCGTTAAAATTTTTTGCATAACAAAATTTTCAACTTAATAAAATTTAATTTCATTTTATTAATTTAAATAAATTAATTATTTCTTAATTAAAATAAATTAATTTAAATAAATAAAATTAATACAATTAAATAATATTTTAATAATATTTGTAATTTTAGTATTATTGTATGAAATATCAAGTTATTTTCATATAAAATATTCTGTGAATTATTCTGTGAAACATTTTTTCAACTATATGTATTTAAATTATTGAATTTAATATAATATAAATTGTATCTTTATAATTGGAATATTACTTGATATATTTAATTGATTTTACAAGCATTACATTTTAATTACATATTTTAAATATATTTTTTGAATAAAAAAATATTAATTAATTATTAATTAATAAATATTTTTCTCAAATTTATTTTATTATTAAATTAAATTACATATATAATATATATTAT